AGTAAGCTTTATTCCTCTACTAGGATGTCTCCAGAGTCTCTGTGCTGTATGAGGTTCTTGCCACACCTTTGTTGACTTCCAGAGCATTTTCTCAGTCACTTTCTTTGATTACTAATTTTTTGCCTTGGTTTTTTCTGTGGCAGAGAAAAGCACTGGGCACCTCTATTCAGTCTTATTGGATCCTCTCCATTCCCTGATTATAATTTATTTATTTATTTCTTAGTAAGTATTTCTGAAAATGGAATTGAGGTCAAATTCCATTTGATATTTTTTAGAAGTTGCTATGATATCTTTTCTCCCAAAACATCTCCCCATGCCTCTACCTTCCTTCCTCCAGCCTCTGGTAACTACCATTTACTCTATGCCTCAGTGAGTTTAACTTGTTTAGATGTCACATCTGAATGAGATCATGTGGCACTGTCTTTTTGTGCGTGACTTATTTCCCTGTTCTCCAGGTTCATCCGTATCACCACAAATGATAGGATTTCCTCTTTTTAAAGGCTGAATGGTATTTCATTGTGCATACATACCATTTTCTTTGTTCATTCATTCACTGATGGACACTCAGGTTGATTCTGTATCTTGACTATTGTGGATAATGTTGCATGGGACGTGGAACTCTGGGTGGCACTTTGATATTATATCCTTTGAATATATACCCAGTAGTGGAAATGCTGAATCACACAGTTCTAGTTTTAATTTGTTTTAGGAACCATCATGCTGTTTTCCATAATGGCTGTACTAATTTACATTCCCACCAACAATATACAAGGGTTTCTTTTTCTTCACAACCTTGTAAATGCTTACTATCTTTCATCTTTCTTTTGGGAGGGGTGGCTGGTGTTTTGAACTCAGGACTTTGTCCTTGCAAAATACTGCCTGAGTCACACCTCCAGCCCATTTTGCTTTGGTTATTTTGGAGATGGGGTCTTGAGGACTATTTGCCCAGGCTGGCCTTGAACTTCAATACTCCCAGTCTCAGCCTCCTAAGTAGCTAGAATTGTAGGCATGAGCCATACGAGCCCTGCTTCTTCCATCCTTTGGCAATAGCCATTCTAACAGGTGTGAGGTGATGTGTCATTGTTATTCTAGTTTACATTTCCCTGATGATTAGTGATATTGATTAGTTTTTCATATATGTGTCGGTCATTTGTATGTCTTTTTTTGAGAAATGTCTATTTAGTTCCTTTGCCCAACTAAAAAAAAATTGGATTGTTTGTTCTCTTACTATTGAGTTGTTTGAGTTCCTTATATAGTTTGGCTATTAATTCCTTATCAGATACATGGTTTTCAAATACTTACTCCTATTCTGTAGGCTGTTTTTTTCACTCTGGTGATTGTTTCCTTTGCTGTGCAGAGCTTTTTTGTGTGATATAATTCCATTTGCCTATTTTTGCTTTTGTTGCCTACACTTTGGGGGAAGCCAAGAAAATCACTGCTAAGATTAATGGGATCTTTTTACTAGTAATTTTACAGTTCAGGTCTTACATTTAAGTCTTTAAGCTACTTTGATGAGTTTTGCATGTGGTGTGAGACAAGGGACCAATTATGTTCTTCTGTATGTAGAGACTCAGTTTTCTCAGTGCCTTTTATTGAACGGACTCTCATTCCCCATTGTTTATCCTTGATATCTTTGTTGAAAATCAGTGGACCAGAAGTGTACAAGTTTATTTTGAGGTCTTCATTCTATTTGCCTATGTATCTGTTTTTATGTCAGTGCAATCCAGTTTTTATTTCTATATCTTGAAGTGAATTTTGAAATCAGATCGTTTGATACCTCTGGCTTTCTAATTTTGTTCTGAATTCTTTGGTTATTTGGAATCTATTGTGGTTCCAAATGAATTTTAGGATTGTTTTTTCCTATTTCTTTGAAAAATGCTACTGGAAATTTAATGAGGATTGCATTGAGTCTATAAATCCACCTTGGGTAGTATTGGCAATTTAACAATATTAATTTTCCAATCCATGAACATGGACTATCTCCCCACTATTTTCATCTTCTTCAATTTCTTTCAACAGAACTGGGAGTGGTGTAACTCTCAGAGGATCTCCACATTGCTACATCAGAGTAAATACACTTCTTTCCAAGTACCCTGAGACCATAATAAAAGTTGGAATCTACCAGCAATCCCAATCCTGGGGATATACCCAAAGGAATGCGACACAGATTACTCCAGAGGCACTTGCACACACATTTTTATTGCAGTGCTATTCACAATAGCCAAGTTATAGAAGTAGCCAAGATGTCCCACTACTGAGGAATGGATTAAGAAAATGTGGTATTTATACACAATGGAATTTTACTCAGCCAGGAAGAAGCATGAAATCTTATCATTCACAAGTAAATGGATGGAACTGGAGAACATCACTCTGAGGGAGGTTAGCCAGGCTCAGAAAACCAAAAATTGTATGTTCTCCCTCACATGCAGACTTTAGATCTAGAGGAAATACAGCAATGTGGTAGAACTTGGGTCACATGATAAGGGGAAAGCACACATGGGAGGTATGGGGATAGGTAAGAAACCCAAAACATGATAGTATTTGATGTCCCCACTGCAGAGGAACTAATACAGAAACCTTAAAGCAGCAGAGGTCAATATGAGAAGGGGATCAGGAACTAGTAAAGAGGTCAGTTAGAGATGAATCAACTTAATATGTAACACATTCGTACGTGGAAGCAACGCTAGGAATCTCTCTGTATAGCTATCCTTATCTCAACTAGCAAAAAGGCTTTGTCTTTCTTATTATTGCTTATACTTTCTCTTCAACAAAATTAGAGATAAGGGCAGAGCAGATTCTGCCTGGAAGTGAGGGGAGCTGGGGGGGAGAAATGGCCCAAAAAATGTATGCACATATGAATAAATGAATAAAAAAATGAAATAAAAAAAATTGGGATCTCCTAAAACTCACTGGAACAGAGAATATGAAGCGCTATCTTCCAGCAGGATGCTCTCACTTGTGCTCTCGTCTTAACTTCCACAGTATCTCTTAATGCAGTATTTTCATTGTCTTCTATGAATTTCTTCTTATAGAGAAGTTCTTAAGGTATAATTCTCCAAACCATAGTCAATGTGTACTGTTCCCCCACCCCCCCCCCCCCCCCCCCCCCCCCCCCCCCCCCCCCCCCCCCCCCCCCCCCCCCCCCCCCCCCCCCCCCCCCCCCCCCCCCCCCCCCCCCCCCCCCCCCCCCCCCCCCCCCCCCCCCCCCCCCCCCCCCCCCCCCCCCCCCCCCCCCCCCCCCCCCCCCCCCCCCCCCCCCCCCCCCCCCCCCCCCCCCCCCCCCCCCCCCACCCCCCCCCCCCCCCCCCCCCCCCCCCCCCCCCCCCCCCCCCCCCCCCCCCCCCCCCCCCCCCCCCCCCCCCCCCCCCCCCCCCCCCCCCCCCCCCCCCCCCCCCCCCCCCCCCCCCCCCCCCCCCCCCCCCCCCCCCCCCCCCCCCCCCCCCCCCCCCCCCCCCCCCCCCCCCCCCCCCCCCCCCCCCCCCCCCCCCCCCCCCCCCCCCCCCCCCCCCCCCCCCCCCCCCCCCCCCCCCCCCCCCCCCCCCCCCCCCCCCCCCCCCCCCCCCCCCCCCCCCCCCCCCCCCCCCCCCCCCCCCCCCCCCCCCCCCCCCCCCCCCCCCCCCCCCCCCCCCCCCCCCCCCCCCCCCCCCCCCCCCCCCCCCCCCCCCCCCCCCCCCCCCCCCCCCCCCCCCCCCCCCCCCCCCCCCCCCCCCCCCCCCCCCCCCCCCCCCCCCCCCCCCCCCCCCCCCCCCCCCCCCCCCCCCCCCCCCCCCCCCCCCCCCCCCCCCCCCCCCCCCCCCCCCCCCCCCCCCCCCCCCCCCCCCCCCCCCCCCCCCCCCCCCCCCCCCCCCCCCCCCCCCCCCCCCCCCCCCCCCCCCCCCCCCCCCCCCCCCCCCCCCCCCCCCCCCCCCCCCCCCCCCCCCCCCCCCCCCCCCCCCCCCCCCCCCCCCCCCCCCCCCCCCCCCCCCCCCCCCCCCCCCCCCCCCCCCCCCCCCCCCCCCCCCCCCCCCCCCCCCCCCCCCCCCCCCCCCCCCCCCCCCCCCCCCCCCCCCCCCCCCCCCCCCCCCCCCCCCCCCCCCCCCCCCCCCCCCCCCCCCCCCCCCCCCCCCCCCCCCCCCCCCCCCCCCCCCCCCCCCCCCCCCCCCCCCCCCCCCCCCCCCCCCCCCCCCCCCCCCCCCCCCCCCCCCCCCCCCCCCCCCCCCCCCCCCCCCCCCCCCCCCCCCCCCCCCCCCCCCCCCCCCCCCCCCCCCCCCCCCCCCCCCCCCCCCCCCCCCCCCCCCCCCCCCCCCCCCCCCCCCCCCCCCCCCCCCCCCCCCCCCCCCCCCCCCCCCCCCCCCCCCCCCCCCCCCCCCCCCCCCCCCCCCCCCCCCCCCCCCCCCCCCCCCCCCCCCCCCCCCCCCCCCCCCCCCCCCCCCCCCCCCCCCCCCCCCCCCCCCCCCCCCCCCCCCCCCCCCCCCCCCCCCCCCCCCCCCCCCCCCCCCCCCCCCCCCCCCCCCCCCCCCCCCCCCCCCCCCCCCCCCCCCCCCCCCCCCCCCCCCCCCCCCCCCCCCCCCCCCCCCCCCCCCCCCCCCCCCCCCCCCCCCCCCCCCCCCCCCCCCCCCCCCCCCCCCCCCCCCCCCCCCCCCCCCCCCCCCCCCCCCCCCCCCCCCCCCCCCCCCCCCCCCCCCCCCCCCCCCCCCCCCCCCCCCCCCCCCCCCCCCCCCCCCCCCCCCCCCCCCCCCCCCCCCCCCCCCCCCCCCCCCCCCCCCCCCCCCCCCCCCCCCCCCCCCCCCCCCCCCCCCCCCCCCCCCCCCCCCCCCCCCCCCCCCCCCCCCCCCCCCCCCCCCCCCCCCCCCCCCCCCCCCCCCCCCCCCCCCCCCCCCCCCCCCCCCCCCCCCCCCCCTCCCCCCCCCCCCCCCCCCCCCCCCCCCAATTGCCCTGTGCTGACCACTCAGAGCTCCATACAAGGTAAATTTACAAGCTGAGACCTCCTCTTCCTTAGGCACACCAGATGCTATACCTACTGTGGCTCACTTCTGCCTTGGCACTAGCCTGGGGTCTGCGGTTCCTCAGCTTCTGTTTGCCCAGAATGCCCTCAGTTGAGTGAAGCACATGAAATACGCTGCTCCCATATCTGTCAACATATAGATGTGAAACTGAAATTTACAATGACTGGTTATACAACAAAACAAACAAAAACACCTCTGGAGCAACTGGAAAACCAAACCCTGCGTGATGCTGCATGGAGTCCAGCATCACAAACTTCCTCACAAGTACCAAAAACTAGTGCCTGTCATGCAATCATGGGGACATTTTCTTTTTTTGCAATATAACTCCTATTTTTGAAATATGTTGGGATATAGTTTAGCTTTCTTGTCCATGACACTAACATGTCATGTAAAACAAATTAAAAAATATATATCCTGGTGGGGATAAATTTATGCTGCTAAATCTACAGATTACATAAATAATAGTAGTTTATTTTAATATCATTGTTTTAAAAATTTGTTTGCAATATTATGCTGACATCATTGTTTTATTTTACTGCTTTCTAAATCCAAAAGTTTGAGACTCATCATTCTACTCTGCTCCATCGTGTGCTTGGTTGCTTATGCAGGCAGTGAGTGATAAAAAAATAAAACTGTTGAAGGAGCATGTATGTCACACTGATAACCAGGAAGTGGTAAATTCCTTTGGAAACATGACTGTGTATTTGTAGATGTTTATCATAATTTGTCTGAATGATTTTTCATGCTCTTTTTAAGAAAGAAAAGAGAATATTAACACAAGCAAAACACATTTTGATGAAGTTTTTGGTCTTCAAATTCTACATTCAACACTATCTCTTATTTAGTTGTTAGGCAAAGTACACAGTCTGCAAGTTACAGGTAACTTTTTTGAGCCAGAATCTTACAAGTAATTAATTTTCTAGCCACGTTTCAGAAAGACATTCATCATTGCTATAGAAGACATTTCAGAGACTGAAGTTTGTCACCATCATATGGTGTGGAAAGATTTTTCCCCTCTATCCACATCCACAAGGATTAGAGTAGCAGAGTTGTAGTGTCTGGTTCAGCAACTTCAGTCTTTATTCCAATAGTTAAAATCATGTAGAGGGTAGAGAGTAGGAGCCAACTCCAGGATTTGAGTTCCCATCTAGCCACCTTCAGGAAATATCAGTAGCTTTTACACCTTCAGAAAATTACTCAGCCTCTCAGTGCCTCATTCACTTAGTTTCAAGAGAGAATAATGCTACCTATTTGGGAATGAAGACACTTTCTGGATAAATAACACAATGCTTGGAAATACAGTCCTAGTTTGCCTGGGACTGAGGGTTTCCCAGGAACCAAAGTTTTCCAGGATATGGGACTTCCATGCTAAACCTGGGACAGCCCTGAGCAAAGCAGGAAGTGTCTACCTATATAGGACTGTGACAACACTGGGGCAGGGTGCTGTCTGCTCCTTTTCACTGGAATGCAAACATGGGATGAGGCAATGCACTCATCCTGCACAGAATTGGTGGCACGTGGAAGCCTAACAAATCCCAGCACTTGGCTTTATAGCTAGAAAAGGGCAATCACGAGGAGGGGTAGAGAATCAAGAACCCAGTGTTTGTTCAAAGGCAGTAGACACTCGCTTTCTGCTCATACACATACTCCCAACAAGGCAATGTTCCCTGGTGATAAGCCTCCTTTCCTCCCTGCTGTTAGAGCTGGACGACTCCACTTTTCAATGGAAATTGGGGACCTCACAACTCTTCCACATCCTCACTTCCAATTCTTACAATCTTTGTCAGGCTGGTCATGAATGTCACCCATAGTCACCTGATATCCAAGAAAACATGCAGGCAATTAATTACAGCAACCAACGAGTTCAGTGTGTGATTGCCCCATGGTCTGTACTCAGAAATGCCCATCACCTACCCCCTGCCTCAGGCTTGCCCTGGACGGTCAAACAGGAGTCCACGAAATAGGTCTATCCTTATCTTTAACTTGATTGTCTTCCCAAGATTTCTGTGCAAGCACCAGCAAGGCTCAGTTGTATAGGAAGTAGACTAACACCAGGCTTGGTGTCTTTGAAAGCTCAGGAGTGGAAGGCTGCAGGCTCTCTAAATCCAAAGTTTAGTGTGTAAAATAACTAAGGTAACTGTGTTTGTGTCCATAATACCTGGAATTAAAGAGTATCAGAACACCAGATATGGAAAAGACTCTAGATGGTATCTTGGGTTGCATGGTTTTAGTACAAAACAAGAAATCATTAACCATTCATTTCACACAGAATGCTCAAATTGGGAGAAAATTAACTTTAGTTTATATTGAGAAGGTTCTCATAATCACAATACTGTCTTTGAACTCACTCCCTGTGGGTCTTATTTAAAGGTGTCCTGTGTATTAACTCACTTAATTCTCTTAACAACTCAAAAAAGTGAGGTCCCCATTACTTATTAAAAAAAGAAATACCTAGAACAGAGTAGTTGTGTAACATATCCAAGGACACACAACTAATAACGATAGCTTTGAGAACTGAACTCAGGCATCTTTGTACAAGACTCATTCTCAAAATGATGTACAGACAATAGGGATAGCTGTACAGAGAACAGGAAATGTTGTCCCATGCAGAAGTCAACCTAAAGCAAGTTTGCATTTGGATTTATGTAATTATGAATTAATATTTTAATAATTAGTATTATCTAAGTATCTATCTCCCTGATTCTAAATTTATCATACTTATTTTAATAAGTAGAGCTGTCTAGTACATATAAAGGATACTTTTTAAAAAGAACTGGGGTGATGATGTAACCCAGTGGTAGAGCACATGGCCAGCAGGCAGGAGGCCCTGGGTTCAGTCTCTAGGACTGCAAAAAAAAATTCTGGGTTGGGGTTGTAGTTCATTGGTAAAGCACTTGCTTAACATGCATGAGGCCCTGGGTTCAATTCAGCACCACTAAAAGACCAAAAAAAAAAAAAACAAAGCAAACAAACAATACATATTCAACTTAAAGTCAAACTTAAACTATTGATTAGGGAATAAGATGCAAGTAATATCAGAATCCACTGATGTATACATACATTGACTAAGATTGCCAAGTGTGTTTTAAAGAAATGCTTACCATTTCTTTGGTTCAAACACTTTCATTTTATTTTCTAGAGTACATTATTATAACATATTTATTTTGCACTGCAATTATAAGTGAGATTTTTTTCTTTTCATGGTATTGGGATTTGGTGCTTGCTAGGCAGACACTCTTACTACTTGAGCTAAGCCCCCAGCACTTTTGGCTTCAATTATTTTTTTGAATAGACTCTCACATTTATGCCAGGGAGGCCTGGATTGCAATTCTCCTATTTACTCTCTTGTCTAGCTGAGATGACAGGCATGCACCACCATGCCCAGCTTTTTATTAATTGAGATGAGGTCTCCTGAACTTTTTGCTAGAGCTGTCCTCAAACCACAATGCTCCATATCTCCACTTCCCAAGTAGCTAGGATTATAAGCATGAGCAAGTACTTGCCCAATTATAAATGTTTTAAAATTTCTTTTGCACTATATTTTAACTTAAATTTTTAAAATGTGGCCTAATTTGTATGTATTTATTCTGATATAAATATTTATGGAACAAAAATAGCACTACACAGTGGATAGCAGTGAGGATATACTACAAAATAATTCAGTGATCTATGGTTACCATATGTATATAATCTCTCTTAGTCACACAGAGATAAATAAGATAAAATAATATACAATGCAAAATATGTGCTTTGGTTGAATACAAACCCTTAAATTAGCAAGTGAGTTTCACTTAATCTTGTTATAGAAAAATATGAGTTAAAATAAAGGTTTTCCCATTACATCCATGAACAATATTCCAGGGTTACTATGTGCCAGGAACTACTGGGTTCACAAGGTCTAGTTGACATGATATAGGTTCCACAGCTAGTAAATGGTTCATTGGAACCCACTCAGAACTGCAGTCTACCCTCATGGGATACTGCTTCTTAGCTTTCTCACAAGTCAGTACTCTGAGGTTCCAAGAGGAGGAGAAGCCACAGGAAGAGTTTGGAAAGGAATAGTCAGCAAGGTAGAGGACTACAGGAGGCAAGAGAGAGGCACACTGTAGAAGCTGGGAAAAGAAGGCAGAATGATTAAATGTGCTGAGAACTATTGAGAAGTCAAGACATACATCAACGGAAAAGTTACATTTGGACATCAAGGTCACTGGCAAACTTGACCAGGAAAGTCTGTAGAGTCGAGCTGAAAGCCATTCAGAGTGGACCTTTCTTCAGATTCATCATGTGATAACCCTTTGAAATGGACATGCTTGCCTTCCCTCTGTGTCACACTCTGGCTAAATAGTTTTTTTCTCTACCATTGTCTCCTTGGTTCTGGCTTAGCTCTATCATCTCCATCAAGGTCTCTACCTCTGTCTTTCTCTTGCTCTGTTCCTCCATAGCTCTCTTTCAGTTTCCTTTCTCTGTCTTTCCATTTCTCTTCTATCCCTATTAATTTACACTCCTTCCTTAACTGAAAATTGTTGAGGGACAATGGAATGATTTCATTCTTTTTCTTGACTCTAGTTCCTAGCACACTGCTTGGTATTTAAGTGGCAACTTGAGCATATTTAACAACTAAATAAAGCTCAAGCTCATCACTTATATAAAAATGATTTTATTGGACTTATAAAACTTTTTGCAGTGTAGAGTCTGAGTTAACAGTAGGAGATATCTGAAATATTTTATTTTAGACACTACATGCAACATACCCACATGGATGGAAGGAAGACAGGTTTGAAAATGAATATTTCTCCCTCTCTTTTTCTTTCTTTCTTTTTTCAGTGCTAGGGATCAAACCCAGGACTTCATGATTTCATTTTTTTTCTCTTTGTTCCTAAGATAAATAGGGAATAGCATTTTCAGCTATCAGCAAAGATAAATAAGTACTCAGAAGAACATTCTCATCAAAATAATAAAAATAATAATAAATGAATCCATAAATCACTGGGATAATCATTTCTAGGATGCTCCCCAAATGCTGAAATACATGTTTTTTTTTTAAAATTCACAAGAACTTTGTTTACCAGACTGTGATCAGCAAGAAAAATGTAAATGCATACAGAAATTTACTAACATGAGTCAA